CTGAGTGCGTTCCAAGCGTCGTTACCGTCACTGTAACTGCGCCTGCTGCTCCTCCGGCGGAGACCAACCCCGCTCCCTCTGAGACCAAGCCAGCCCCGCCTGCCGAGACTCATCCCGCTCCTCCCGCTGAGACACACCCCGCTCCTCCTGCCGAGACCTACCCCGCTGCTTCCGCGACCATGCCCGCTCCTCCAGCAGGAAGCAAGCCCGCTGAGACACCAGAGAACCCAGACGACGGCATTAACAACGGCGGTGAGGGCTCATGCCCCCAGGACCTCAACGGCAACTACGAGTACCCCCACCTCATCGTACCTGTCGACTCCGAGCAGCCCGACAAGGCCCACGACACCTCCTACAACGGTATGGTCGATAGCCACACCTGCACCATCTTCAACTTCGACATCCCCGCCTCCATGGCTGGCAAGAAGTGCTCTGCCATGTTCATGCTTCCGAAGAAGGAGGACCTCGAGACCTCCGACTACACCATGTCTGGCCACGGAGAGTGCACCGTCAGCAAGCTCAAGGGCCCTGCCGATGCGATGACTACCTACAAGAACATGCCCGCCAAGGAGAAGGACGTTGCCCACATGGAAATGACCCCTGGCAACACCTACCCCGTCGAGACTGGTGACTGCGAGGCTGGCAAGACTGTCACCTACATGATCTGCGGCAGCGGCGACTTCTCCATGGACTACTTCCAGGACTACAACCCAAGCCCCCTTGGCATGTACGTCCGCCAGTGCTAGATTGTTAGCGTTGGTGGCTGAGACCTTGTTGGGATTATGGATCCTCATCAAGTGAGTCTAAAAGGTGTGTCAGATATGAACACCGCCTACTTCTTCTTCATCGTCGCTGAGACGAGCCCTTCCTTTGTAATAACAACATGATACGATACGACGACATGGCACTCCTTATGAATAGTTTGTAGACTAGATTCGATTCAATGTACATTTTACTCCTAGACGTTGATCCTGCGGATGATGCTTCTTGTGAATGTTTGACTAGACACCATTTCTTTCGCCTCTCAACTGCTAGTAGCTCATCGATCTCGTGTAGGTGCGAAATCGAAATCACCGCAGCGAGTTGAAAGAACTAGGAGACGCCGTGAAGATTGCTTCAATCATTGCCAAGACGCTAACGGCAAGGAAGTCAGCTTCCCGCCCCGACACCCGCGTCGCGTTCACTACGAGATGTCACGCGTCCAATTGCACCCCATTTCAACTCAACCAACGCGAGCGACTACGTGACTACTGCGATCTTAAAACCTCCGACACGTTGTTCTCCGAGAGGCGCTCTGCTCGACTTCGACTGTCATGCACAGCACACGCGTCGCACAGCACCATCATTTTCGTGCATTTTCGCGCTCCTTCCGCAAAACACGCCTTCAGCTAGATTCCGGGATATCTGGATAACGATATGTACCCAGGTCATGGACTGTATCGTTATGGCTATCACAACCCACTCCACGTGAAGCGCGCCTCCATCCTGAAGGAAGGCTAACTAAATTGTCAACGTTTGCATGCCACCGGGCTTTCAAGCTGTACGGCCTTCCCAATCCCAGTGCCTAAGCTCGCGATATCACTTTCGACATCTCTCCTGTGTTGGAGTTCCTGCATCGTGCGTGCAGCATCTACATCCAACTCAGCCTCAGGGTACAGCCGCTCACACACGCGCTAGAAGACGCAACGAATCTTCTGTACAGTGTCTGCAGATGGCGAGCTGCAGTCCGAAATGACACAAGAACCCCACAGTACTCTACGCGCAATATACACAGCATTAGCTTAACCACCCTGTCCAATCTGCAGGGCGCTTTTCGCGATCGCAATATCACGAGCCGGATTGCGGGGTCAATGTTTCAACGAAGCTGGGGTAGAAGCCGGGTAAACAGCTCAGATATATTGACTACCCGCAGCAGCCCCGGTAGACTTTACCTTGGCTAATTTACTGTTAACAGGACTACATACCAATCTAGGGGCGAACGACCGTTCCTTACATTCGCCAAAGAAAGCGCACGGTACGCCAACGACGAAGCACTACAGCAACGCCGCCGTGGCGCTTTGTATGCGAGATGTCAATGCTTTTTCACCAAGGACTTGGACCCTCTTGAGTGCTATGAGAATGTACAACGGGCCGACGGTACCGTTGACCAATTCTAAAGACAGTTACGCGAACGTAAGGGCAAGCCTGTACCAAGCCTGCTGAAAGAGAAGCAAATGATTGGATGGGTCTTTTCCGCGGCGCTCATTCTCATGGCATTCTATAAAAGCCCCAGGTAGTCCAGCGTACGATTCATCACCACCTCGAGTCAATCTCAAGCCTCTCGTTTCATCATGGTGCAACTCACACAATTCGTTTTGGCAACTGCCGCCTTCGCCGGTGCTGCGTCCGCAGCTCCTAAGCCACCCCCAGGCCCCAACGTCAACCCTTGGACTGGAAAAGACCGCTATGTTGTTCAGAGCTACGGCAAGAAGCTCGACCAGACCATTGCAGCCTTCACGGCTCAGAACGACACTCTCAATGCGGCGCGCACTCGCACAGTCGCCCAGAAGATCTCGACTTTCACTTGGGTCACTACACGCGATGGTCTCAGCCTCATTCCCCAAGCCATCAAGGAGGCTCGTCAGCAGAAGAAGGGCCCAAAGAAGATGATCGTAGGACTAGTTCTGTACAATCTGCCCGACCGTGATTGCTCTGCTGGCGAGTCTGCCGGTGAGCTCAGCTCAGCCAACAACGGTCTCCAGATCTACAAGAAGGAGTTCGTCGACAAGTACGCCAAGCTTGTTTCTGAGGCCAGGGACCTCGACTTCGCCATCGTTCTGGAGCCCGACAGTCTGGGCAACGCCGTCACTAACCAGGGCGTTCCTTTCTGCGCCAACGCCACTCCAATCTACGAGGAGGGTATTGCGTATGCGATCTCCAAGTTGCAGTTCCCCAACGTACATCTGTATATTGACGCTGCACACGGCGGCTGGCTCGGTTGGGCAGACAACCTGAAGCCGACTGCTGAGGTTTTCGGCAGGGTTGTTGCCATGGCCAAGAAGCTTAACCCCATGGCTAAGATCCGGGGTTTCTCCACCAACGTGTCGAACTACAACTCTTTCCAAGCTAAGGTCCGCGAAAACTACACCGAGTACTCACCATCCTGGGACGAGAGCCACTACGCCACGTCGCTCGCTCCCTACCTCGAGGCTGAGGGCCTGCCATCCCACTTCATCATCGACCAGGGTCGCGTCGCCCTTCCCGGTGCTCGTGAGGAGTGGGGTGAGTGGTGCAATGTTGAACCTGCTGGATTCGGTCCTCTACCCGGCTCCAAACAGAACAACACCAACGTCGACTCTCTGGTCTGGATCAAGCCTGGTGGTGAGAGTGACGGAAAGTGCGGTCTTACTGGCGCACCGGCTGCTGGTGCTTGGTTCGACGAGTACGTGCAGATGCTGGTCAAGAACGCTGACCCGCCTCTGGCGCCAACCTACATGAAGAAGCCTCATGGTCCCAAGGCCTAAATGTGGTGGAGTTGACCGAGTGTAAAGTACGCGGTTTCTGTTTAATGTACATATTGGATCGAATACTCAAGAATGTTATAAGACATCTATCTTTTCAAACCCTCACCGAACTTGCTACCCCATCGGGATCTGATTCACGTTCATGGTTCTACGCGCTTTGAACCCACACGTGACTCCAAGCTAACCCCACAGCTGCCTAGCCCGGGTCTGCGACTATTTAGAGAGGCGACTGTCTTGAGAGTTTGCGTCACCATAACAACGTGTTTGTAACAGATCTACGCCGAGTCCTTCCATCGAATTCTCCAACCCAATCCGATACCCGAGTCCACGATATGACGACAGCCTTCTTGGACCGCGAGAAGGCCTACAAAGAGTGGGAGGGATTGCCCAAGCGTGCAACTACGCCTGAGGAATCTGACAAGATGTAAGCCGATGAAATGAGCACGTATTTCATCCGCAGTACACTGGCTGACCGAAACAGCACCACAGCAAACCAGCTCAACTCGCCCCTACTTCGTCTACCTGGCGAGATCCGCAATCACATCTACACATACGCCTGCCGATCTACTACAGTCAAGCACGGGAAGCGCCCAGAAGTTTCCGAAAGGTCGTGTCTCTTCACCCAAACCTTCCTCCTCACCTGCAAACAATTCTACTGCGAGGCCATCGCACTCTTGTATACCCACGCGACGTTTGAGTTGTCTGGATTTGGAGGGTGGGCAGCTCACGTAAGCCTCAACCCCAAATATCGCAACCTCATTTCCTCGCTGTATATGGACGGTGGTTATCTCACCACTGCAATACGGAAGGCTCATGAATTCATATCTGGTAGAAGGGCTAAACCTGATCTACCTGGCGTTGAGAGGGTCCTTTTGAAGCAACCCGTTAGGGCGAGTGATGTATGCATCGATGCGCTGCGAGGATTGTTTGGGAAGCCGAACCTACAGGTCACCGACGAGGAGATTACAGATCCATATTGGCTCCTGAAGATGCAAAAGCGTTCAATGCAGCCTGGGACTTATCGCTGCTAAAGCATTCTTTCCAATTAAGTTTCCTTTACTCATGAGTAGCCGGATACCTAAGTACATGAGGAAGCGATTTCGCCAAGTTGGGAGCGCATGGACCTGAGAACGGTGCAGAAGTTCTGATGGATATACATCGTGCCATTTATAGCAACACATTAGAACTGGATCAAAAATAACCTCGGCCACATGCACGTGGTGATCCGGCGCGTGATCTCGAGGGTCTAGTCCCACTCTTGTAGCCACTTCACTTCCCCACGTACCCTCTGTATATAAAACACCTTGATCGCCGAAACCAGTCCTCTTCTCTTGTCTTCCCACAGATTGTTCTCGGTAAGCCACCAGGTCATACAGTCTCGTGAGCAACTACGCCGACTAGTTTGTAGCCCATAAATCCCCCAACACACGCACCTGGGTAAGCGTTCTGCACCATTGAATAACTTCCTGGGCTTCAATCCTGACCCCGCGTAGCAATATGTCACGACAGACAGTCACCTCACGTCAGCGTCGCGTGCTCACTTCCAAAGAAGCTCGCGAGATGTAAGTACCTGGACCAATCAACCCTATCGAGGCGACGGGCATCTGCTAACATGTATCCAGCACCCTTCAGAACCAGCTCGACTCACCTCTCTTACGACTGCCGCCAGAGATACGCAACAAGATCTACGCGTACGCGTGTTCCCGCACTCAGGCCGTCTTCAACAACAGTCCTCGAGCCCGCAAGTCCACAGCCATCATATCCACCTGTTCCCAAATGCACCATGAAGCCCACGCCATCTTCTTCGCGCATGCGACATTAGATCTGAGGGCGCTCCTGTTCTCGGAGTTCCCACAGACGCTTCCACATGCGGACTTCCGGCTCGTCACTTCCATCCATCTACGATCGCAGCGGATTACAAGGCTTCTACGGGAGGATGAGCAATTGGTAGCGGAACGACAGGGAGCTAAACTCTTCCCGGAACTGGAGCGAGTGTATGTCGCTGGTTGGAGTAAATCGCGCATGCCAAAGGATAGTTTGGGGGTTGACGCGCTACGAACTTGGGCGGGAAATGCGGATTTGCAAGTGGCGCACAGCTCAGCCTTCTAGGGACTTTCACGCGTGGAAGTGTCAAGGAAGGGAACAGAGAGGGTATTGATACGTCATAGACAGCCCCGCTATGAAGAAATGTAGTAGTCGCGTACTGCACGCTAGATAATGAATACTCGCTTCCCAAGCCTTCCACCTACTTCTGTGTTCCTCTCACTTCCATAATCAAAACACACCAATTCTCCTGAACACGACGTGGTTACCACTTCCTCATCAACGGCGATGGAAAGCAATAAAGCAATGTCTGACATGTCAGTCAGCCATATTCTATACACGTAATCTCCCCACTATCGCTGACACGTTATCTAGAGCAATCAAGAACCAACTCACATCCCCGCTTCTCAAACTCCCCGGAGAGATACGCAACAAGATCTACGAGTAAACATTTATCACTATCTAGATCTATATACGTATTTTAAATTTATTAAGTTAGGTATTGCAAGCAATAGTATATAGATAGAGATAAGTATAAGGTATAGAGCCTCTATAGTCTACTTATAATTAGTTAAGTTATAAATTTTATAAAGGCTTAGCGCGCTAAGCCTTTAAGCTAATATTTTAATATTTTTAATTTTTTTACTAAAGAAATACTTAAGTACTATATACTATTAATATAATACTTATTTATAAGTATCTATTAAAACCTCTATAAAAAGTTAGTACTAAGAGTACTTTAGACGTATACTAGGCGTAATAAATAAAAGTTTATAAAAGTATTTTTTTATTCTTTAATACTTACTTTACTTACTATATTAGTAAGTACTTTTTTATTTCTACTACTACTACTATATATTACTAACTAAATAGATATTTATATACTTTAATAGCTATAAAGCTTTTCTTTTAAGTTAAATTTTTAATAACTCTAACTTATTTACTTCTACTTTTTTTTTTAATAATAAGATACTTTCTTTATAGCTATAAAAAAAATTAAAAAGCTTTATATCTATAATATTAGTAGTAACTTAGCTTAAAAGTTTATAGAAAATATTACTAGTATTAAATAAAGTATAAGTACTAATAAAGTTATAGCTTAGATTAATATTAAAAAAGCTTATATTATCTTATAAACTAGCTAGCTTATTTTTAAGTAAGTTTTTTTCTTCTACTAAAGTAATAATAAAAAGAGTATATTAGAGAAGGTTATTAAGTATTAAGTTAATACTCTTACTAAGTTTTAATAATAGTGCCTTAAGTCTAATTTAGAGTTATCTTTATAGTAAAAAGATATTAAAAGATATTAAAAGATATTAAAAGATATTAACAAACTCTAAGCTAGTCTCTTTTAGAACTACTAGAATAATTTTAATATTAATTTAAAATATATTACTATTAGTAATAAGATTATTATAGTAGAATATTAATATAAAGTAGAGTAATAAAATATAGTTAGATAACTCTATATAGTAATCTTAATATAGATATATTTTCTAAATACCTTATATTTACTATAATATAGTAGTAGAAATTAATAAAACTCTCTTAGTAATATTTATTATAGATCTAGAGTGTTAATAATATACTTATAAAGTTAATAGTAATAAAAAACTATCTAGTATACTTAAGAGTAAACTTAAAGAACTTAGAAGTACTAAAAGTAAGCTATAAAGCTATAGAGTTATTAAAATTCTAGAAATATATATCTAGATAAGCTTTTAAAGCTAGGTAGATACTAATAGTAATAATAGATAGCTCTTATTAGTAGAAAAGCTAGAAATTAGAAAGTAGTATAGTATTAAGTAGAAGCCTCTCTATTAGCTATAAAACTAAGTAGATAACTATAGTTATAATACTAATATAGAGGTTAATACTATAGTTTAGAGAATAGCTACCTTATATAACTTTATATAAAGAGTTATACTTATAAGCTACTTTTTTTTATCTTATATTTTATATTTTAAAATACTTTTAAAACTAAATTCTCTAAAATACTAGTAATAATTAAAATTAACTTTTTTTCTAAACTTTTAAAGAAAGCGTCTATTCTCTTTAATACTTTAACTATAAGTAATACTAAAAATACTACTATAGTAGATCTTACTACTTATAAAAGTAGCTTAATTACTTTTAATATTAAAGTAGAGAAATATAAAATAGTTAGACTATAATATATAGATAAAAATCTTAGACTATAGCTAATATTATAACTACTTAGCTATAGACTACTCTAGATCTCTCTAGACTTTTTTAGACTACGCTAGTCTATATAAGCGTAGACTCTACTAGCGTAAAAATCTAAAGAAACTTTTTATAAGTAATAGCTCTATCTAAATTACTTAGTAGAGATTTACGTTTATATAATTTTATATTAACTTACTTTACTTTTATAATATAAATCTCTATTTATAACTATTAGTAATACTATAAATATAGTTTTATTATAATTATATAGTATAGTAGAAAACATAGCTTTCTAGATCTAGTTTAGACTAGCTAATACTTTATTAGCTCTAACTACTACTAAAAAGAAATTATAAGCTCTAATACTTACTATAGAAATACTACTAGTTAAGAAGAAAATACTTATTAATAAACTAATACTATTAACTTTTTAGTAAAAACTTAAATAGAAAGAATAGCTTTTATTAAAAGCTAAATAGTATATAAAAATTACTACTTTATATACTTAATATAAAGCTTTTAAGACTATACTTACTAGAAGTAACTTCTAGACTCTACTACTACTTATACTAATACTAGCTCTAGCTATACTTACTAAGAGTACTTTATACTAAACTAAACCTTTTAAAATTCTACTTTTAAAATCTAACTCTTTAACGTATTTTAAAAGTAAGAATAAAGTATAACTTAATAGCTAAGCTAGAGCTTATAAATACTTTTTTAAGAGTAACTCTACTTTAACTAACTTAACTATATAAGTTAACTTTATAATTAGATAGCTTAGAAACTACTAACTTAACTATTAGAAAAAAATAGCTAAAGCTATTATAGCTAATTTAGAAGCGCTAGTTCTAACTTAAGCTACTCTAAAGTTAGCTATACTAGAGTTTTTTAGCTTTTTTTTTAAATATAAGTAGATAGCTAAAGAAAAAATTAAGAATATAAGATAGTGTTATTATATCTCTACTAAGCTCTTTAACTACTTTAAGATATAATAAAAAAAGCTTAATATCTAAGCTACTCTTAATAATACTAATAAGAATTATATTTATAACTTTTACTCTACTTTTAATCTAAAAATATATAAATAACTAGATAATATTAAGTAGAAGTAGTATAGCCTTATAGTACTATAGGCTAAAGCTAACTAGTAGTATAAAGCTCTAGAATCTATACTTTAGATTAAATAGACCTAGATAGGTATAGATAATACTAGAAGAGACTAGTTACCTTTTAAGTAAATATAGTATAATACTAACTAGCGTAGCTTATTTAGCTAAGAGATAAAACTATATATACTACTTAAGAGAGAATTTATAACTACTCTAGTAGCCTAAATAAGTATAAAGAATATTAGTTAAATTAAATACTATAACTACTACTATAAAAAGTACTATAAAAAAGAGTATTCTAACTCTACTAGTACTTAGAAGAAAAAAGTATACTTTTAAACTACTTAACTTTATAGTCTAAGAGACTTATTATATACTTTAAGAGTCTTATTACTACTATAAGTAGTAAGTATAAAACTAAGCTTAAAATAGTAAACTTATCTCTAATTACTATAGAAGATACTATTTTAGCTAAATCTAAATCTATTTATATCTAAGCGCTTCTTAATAGTAGTACTAAAACTAACTTTATTAGTTAAGCTATAGCTAGTAAAGCTAGATATATACTATACTAAAATAGTATAACCTAGTTCTATAGTTTTAATAGCTAAGAACTAGCTATATTAAACTAAGTAGATATAAAGTATACTATAACTAATAGCTATAATACTACTTAAGAAAAGTAGAGAAAGTTCTATCTAGAAGACCTTAAAGAATTTAATATAATTTTAGATATACTATAGCTAGAGTAATAGTAATCTACTCTAAACTTTATTTTAAAATTTATAAGATTTATAAAGTAGACTAGATACTATAAGATTACTCTAGAAACCTCTAAATAATTTATAGCTATACTTCTTAATAAAAATAATAATAGCTTTTTACTAGTAGTAGACTAAGCTAGACTAAATAATAGTACTCTACTTTATTAGTACTATAGCTTCTAGGTAAAGGCCTTTTCTAAAGAAAACGCTACTATCTTAGCTAAATATAAGCTATATAAGATAGTAATTAACTTAGAGAAAAAAAAGAATCTACTTTATAAACTACTTTATAGTCTATTAGTAATAGAAGTAGAGATACTATATAAATATATTAATAAGAACCTAGCTAAAAAATAGATTAAGTACTCTACTTTTAAAGTAGAGGTACTAATTCTATTTATAAAAAAAAGAATAGCTTTCTCTAGTTATATATAGACTACTATAGTCTTAATATAATTACTATAAAGAACTACTATCTACTACTACTTATAGAAGAGTTTCTTAATTAACTTAGATCTATATTAATTTATACTAAACTAAACTTATAGAATACTTACTATTATATCTATATTAAAAAGAGAGATAAGTAGAAAATAGCTTTCTATACTAGGTATAGCTATTTTAAATATACTATAATACTATTTAGCTTTACTAATACCTTTATAGTATTCTAGAATTATATTAACTTAATTCTATTAGACTTACTAAATATCTACTATATTATATACTTTAATAATATTCTTATTTACTTCTAGAATAAAAAGAAATACGTTAGCTAGGTCTAAAAAGTATTATTTAGACTTATCTAGTATAGGCTATATACTAAACTCTCTAAGTATAACTTCTATACTTAGAAAGTAAGCTACTTAGGTTTTATAGTTACTTTATAAAGAGTAAAAATAAAGACTAACTATATTAATACTATTTAATTCTAGTCTATACTAGCCTTAGTTAAAAACGTCTAAATCTTTCTAAACTTTACTAACTACTACTAGCGCTTTAT